AAAACAATTGTGTTTTTTTTTTTTTTTTATCACTCTTGGGGTGTTCCCTTCTCAATATATATATATATATTTTTTTTTTTTTTTATAATGAGATCAACTAGATCGATTATAAATAAAACACTTTGCCTCCAAAACCAAAATGTATACAACAATTTGTGTCGAAATGTGTTTTTTTTTCTTTTCTTTTCCCAAGATCATCTAGATCACAGGTGTCAAAGTCAAAACCCCACATAAATTTATGTGGCCTGTGAAAACAATTCACGCACAAACTTTTATATCAATAATGTCGAGATTTTGTGATAATTTTGTTTCCTGTTAACGCTCACTCAAACAATAATTGAACAAAATATGACTGGTTTCAGAATTGTTGTGATTAATAAATCATTTCATCATTGTATTGCTGATATTCACTCCATGTACATCAGTTTGTATACAGTGATGGTTGATTTAAGTTGCTCTATAAACACAGTTGAGTTGAGTTGCACAATTTATAAAATATAACCATTTAATTCAATTTCACCGTCGTAACGACCCACCGAAGGACGATGTAACTTTTAACTCCAAAGTGGCCCGAGATAAAAATGAGTTTGACACCCCTGGTCTAGATCTATGAGCAAAATGTAGGTTATTATCAAGAAATACATCCCCTTTCATATGTGCTAAAGGAGAGCACAAATACCATATAAAAAAGGAGAAGATCAGCACAGAGTTCCATATGTTAGTGTGATCATATAACAGGAAATGACATGCCACTACTGATATTCTAGCATGTCGACAGAAACACACCCTAAATGAGTGCAAAGGTGTCTTGCAACTTCTTCCGCCGGTCGTTTGATGTTCCCAGTAACTAAAATACTGTGCCCATCGCGTCACCGGACTTCGCTCACCTTCCTCAGTGGATGTTTCTATCAAGATGACCTTTTTACAATGCCCGTCAATGGGTGTGGTCAGCAACACTTCATAGAAGTACGATGTTTCTTTTTCATGTTTCGAATCAGAGCCAGGTCCGCTGGAACCACCATTTCATCCTGCCGTGAAAAAGCACAATCATCCTACCCGAATCTCAATTCATTTCCCTTTTTTTTTTTTTTTTTACTAAACCTTCTCACATATAGTCAGCCGAATTAGCTTCATTACCCAGTTCACAATTGTGTAGAAAATATCAGTAATTTATATGGTCTCCCAAACAATATTTCAAGCAAAGAAGGAGACACCATTCTCGTAATATTGACATATAAATCAATTCAATTTCTTTAATTGAATTTTAACCATATAATTTCATACTTGCTACCAATCCTGCAGATTGTGGATGGCAGGAGCAATAGTGTCTCAGATAAAATGTGAAACATGCATTCTATTTTATCAATTAACCTGTTCACGAAATGTGTTCCACTGCCGTAAATTTTCGACCCATTTTGGAAAAGCCTCAACCAAACTCAGGCAATATGGCATCCCCTCATTAATTCAACGGAACCCATGTGCATTATCTGAAATGAAAATGTAGCTCAAAGAAACGGACCCCATTCTAGATACAAATTACCTTGTGTACCAAAACATTGGTTCAAACCATAGGTTGTATAATGTTTCCGAACCAGAGACACCATTTCCCCTGCCAACGCGTGAGATAATTCATGATGGTTCACTGTTTTTCGCCACATTCTTTGTTAACCGATTGGAATTTGAACTTAACCTAAAACGTTATCATGTTGCTGATAGTCAGCCAAGTACATCCTAACCACTTTTCCCTCACACTCATCGTTGTTGAATTACCATATATACATATGTAACACTTCAGCCAATTCCTCACAATCAGGTTGGCCACCATGTTGGCCAGAAAATGTGCGACCCACTTGCTGTGTCCAAAAACAGGTTCAAAAGCAAACCGCAAAATAACTATATAAACCAGATTTAAGTCAATAAATTAATGAGATGTCATAATGTAATGGAGCATCAAATTTGAGTAAGAGAGAAAAGTGATGTATAAATATGCTAGGCACCAATTATGAGTAAGAGAGAAAAGTGATGTAAAACAACAAACATATCATATGCATAAGGGGAAATGCGCTTGTCAATATCTAGATTTCTTCCTTAGCCTGTCAAACGAGATATACCAAATAAATGACCCATTACAATATTAATTAATTCATTCAATCATGCACCTTCCGATCCGCTTTATGCTCACAATGTTCGCGGGGGGTGCTGGAGCCCATCCCAGCCATCTTCGGGCCGTAGGTGGGGAACACCCCGAACCGGTCGCCAGCCAATCACATGGCACACACAGACACGTACAACCATCCAAGCCCATGCTCACACCTAGGGACGATTCAGAGTGTTCAATCAGCCTGCCATGCATGTTAATTGCAATATTAATATCAAGCAAATGAAAACACACAAAGAACGAGAGGTCGGACTAGACAAGTTCGTTGTACTTCCTCCTACACCCTCTCAAATCACTATTACCTGTTTATATGTCCAACAAACAAACAGACAAACAAACACCCATCAGGAAGCAGGAATAAAGCAGCAGGGTTAATTACTGTGCATTCTTCCAGTGTTAAATGGGATCGACATTGCAACATAGCCATGCAAAATAAATGCCGAGCAGGCGACAAAAAACTTCGTGTTAGTGTGCAGCAGCTCATCCATTTGTTTTGTTTTGTTTTTTTGTTTTTTTCCTAGCACTCCTCCAGCATGCAGAGTTCGCACCATACACTGCTCAAGGCCGCCAAGTGCCTGAATCTACGCCGCAACTGTCTTTGGTTAACACCACCTAGGGTGTGTGATTTTCAAAAATGCCACTGCTGACCTTAAAACGTGCAGTCAATCTAAGTTAACGAAGCCAATTTCACTCCTGGCATGTCAAGCACATTGGTATTGTACTGGATGCTCGGCAAATAAATGGCGGTTTGTTTTTCTTTCCTGGCCGTGAGTTTCGCTGTCCGCTTTTAGCGGTGAAGTTGGAAAACGGCATTTTTGTGTCATCTAGGCTCCTCAAGCTGCCAAAGTGTATTTTGACTCGCAGCAGTGAACTGGGTGACTCAGCAACAAGCTACCGCTATGTATGGTGGCGTGTTGATCCAGCTAAAACACAGACTGAAAGGGGGG